AAAAAAAAGAAGAAAGATGCATTTTTGAGACTATTTCTTTTGCAACTCCCTCCTATTGTTCTAAGAGGTGTTTGTCTGTCTTTGAACCTGAAGGAAGTTTTTCTAGCCTCTCGACTAGGTAAGTTGAAACTCCATGTAATTTCTCAGCTCACTGCATATTAGGTAGTGCCTGCGATTAATGAGATCACCGTCCATATTCCTTCCTCTGTCAGCCTTTCAGAAAAACAGTACTTGGAAAAATACACAAAGGAGATGAAAAGGAAGTTGCTTATGAATTATGAACAGCCTTTCAGGCTGATGTTATTTCATGGGGCTGTCACTCCATTTTAATTAAGTAATTCAGATGGAATGATGCTTTTTTTAAAACCCTGTTTGTGTTTGATCACCTTTCAGAGGTAACACTTAGATAGCTCATGTTTGTTGAATTTTCATTTTAAAGTAACAAGAGCGGGTGCTTACTGCCCTTACTGATTAAATAATGGAGAAGGAAGACACTGCTGCGGCTGGGCATGAGACACAATAGCCACGAGGCTTTACTCTGCCCATGTCTGGAAATTAGCTGGGTGATTGCTTGGGCATTTTGTGGCTGGTGTGAAAGATGGAGCTGCTTGGTTGGACCCAGTGATGAGTACCAGAGTGTGCAAATGCAGCCAATCTCTCTCAAAGCATTACACTCACCTTCTGCTGAATTTCCTCTTTCCTCTGTTTTCTTACCAATGTGTGGCTAGTAACCCCCTGCACCCAGCCGCAAACAGATCTGCCAACGCCTAGTTTATTTTGGGATTTGTGCATATGTAAATTGAGCCATTAGTTCCCAGACTCGTGATCCCTGGAGCTGCGCAGTTTGAATTGCTGCAGATCGAGACTCTACCTCTTCCTCTGTGATCGGGGGTAATCCCGCGGCCGTTCAGAAACGGCGGCTGTCAGATTGTGTCCCGTTGATCCTTGGGCTGTGGTTGTAGCCCTGCGTGTTGCTGGGCCCGTGGGTGAGTGGGGTGCAGCTGCTGACCCACTTTTCTTGGACGAGCATCGTGGGAGCACTCATCTCCTGGCACCAGAAGAGTTTTGGGGATGTGTTCTCCTGCTCCTTTGTGACAGTGCTAATGATGTCGTCTGGCACAGATTACGCAAGGCTGAGCACCACCGAAGCACAGCTGTGTGGTCCCCGGCATCTGCTTTCTTCCCCCTCCGCCACTGGGCCACTCTCAGTAGGGTACGTTGTTTTCAGCCCTGGTTTTGTTTACCTTTCATTGCGAAGAAACCTTTTGCCAAGGGATTAAGACTTCGGGCTGCCCGACTTAATTTGGGATCTAAATCTTCCCAGGCGGAGAGTGCTGGAGGCTTTGTGCGTGGTTTGCTTGGTGGTTAGCCTGAGTGGCAGCAGAATGAGGGCTCTGCTGTGTCTTTGTGCTGGTGGTGATGTGTCCTGACTGCGCTCCAGAAAGGCATCTGGGGTGCCTGTTCGCTGGCTGTGCAGGAATTGCTGCTGCAGACTGGGCATGGGGCTGTGTAGTGCCATGCGGCCTTTGGTCTGCAGCGCAGAGGGGTCACCAGGCAGGACAAGCATGCTGCTTTACAGGAGAAGTTCCTTTCCAACACCTGGGGCTGGTTTATGCCCTATAAACAGGGCTTAAATGTTCTAGCCAGGAACTTCTCATGTATTTTGTTCATTTATTGATTTAATTTTCTTTTGTAATTCCGGTTTGCATAGGCTTTCCCTGTTCTCCTTCCTTCTTTATGAAATAGTATTTGTAGCCGTTGTTACAGTTCCTCTTGGAGGAAGGATGCAGCAGTTGTTTCGTTTGGACCAGCTTTCACGTGTGTGGGTTGTGCAGGGGTGGGGGGTTGCTGTGAATTGAGCAGTTGGCTTTACTCTAAACAGTACCACCCCAGCTGTGCTCTAGTAGCTTTTACTTCTGCTGTCAGACCAGACCAAGCCATTTTATTGATGCCTTCAAGTCTAACAAGCTATTTAGAAAACATATTTGCAGGATGGGCAGCGGAAGAAGAGCCATGCTTTAATTTCTGGCTCAGTTCTTCTGGGCACTAATGCAGGATGGTGTCAGGGAGGTGGCTCTGGTGTCTCGATTCACGATCAGTGCATCTTGCAAACGAAGCAAAATCAGGCTGGCTGCGGGCTGGCACAGAGACCTTTGTGGGCGTTGGACAAAAGGCGGTGCGTGGTTTTTGCAGGCAGTGTGGGAACCATCACATAAAGCTGATAGGCTTTACTGTCAGGTCTCTGCAACCTACTGTGAGAGGGGTGGTGTTGCTTTCAATATCCTTGCCAAACTCCACAAGGAAAATTATTTTCTTTACCTCTTTAAATGTCTTGTGGACCTTGAGCTGACTAATATCTTTCACTTCCTGACCTAAACTTCAGTGCTGTCGATGGATGTTAAAGGTTTGCATCATTTCACTTAAGGCTTTTCCTCACTGGATGTGCGGTCCTGCATGCTTTGGGCTCTTTGGGGTGTAAATTGCTATTTTGGCTTTTAGCCCCTAACCTTTTGTACAACACAGGCCTGCAGGGACTGTTCTGGGGCCCAGTTCAGCTGTGAAATGCTGTTCAAATGCTGTGAGAGTTGCTCCTGGTTACCACAACGTTGAGCTTAGCTGGCTGAGTTGTGGAGAAGTGCATCCAGAGTCGCCCGGTGGCCTGAATGCCACGAGCCACCCTGCGCTCCCTCTGCTCCAGCGATGGATCCACACACACCTCCAGCCCACCCCAGTTACAGCAAATTGGAATAGCTGCTCCTCTCCAGGTTACACCACACCGGTCTGAGGGTGGGGATGGCAATATTCAACTCTCAAACCTGTTGGAGGCTTGGAGCCCACTGTTTTGTAATCCTTTATCACTGGGAAAGCATCTCCCAGTGGTGATATTTCACTCCCCCAAAGCCTGGGAGTGAAACATGCTGTGTGCCAGCCCGCGTCTCATCTTAACACCGTTGTGAATGGCAAAGCAGTTGCATTTGGTGGCAGGAGATGGCTGGGCTCTCATCAGTTAAACTCGCCTCTCGGACAAACTGGATTTATGCTCAGGGCCCTAACTAGGTTGCACATACAGAGCAAACACCAGAGGCACTGGTGGGCTGAGTCTGCACTGCCAGAAATCAGCCTGTTTCTCCTGCTCCTGGCAATAAAAACTTTACCCCCCTACTTGCCTCCTTGTGTGCCTTGTTGCACAGCTCAAAATGACTGCTCAATACGCCTCTTCTCTCGAAAGGCGGGCTGCGGGTTTGAAAAATGCGAGGTTTGGAGGAGCTGTTAATTATGGGATAGGCTGTTGCTTTTTAGATAGTGTCCCTGGTTAACAAGAATAGTTCTGCTGGAAATGGATAAGATTCTTAGGAGGGTTTGTGCTTTATCTGTCATGCAGAGGGTGCTGCTGAAGTTTATCTCTGCGTAGCTATCCTTGCTGTAATTATTCATTACTGAACCATTGCTTCAAGGTGGGGCTGGTTTTAGAATTTTTTAGAATATTTTTTCCCCTTAATGTTACGTTTTTCCCCAAGAGGGATTTCCCCTTCCCCCACTTGAAAAACAGGATTATCATTGTAGACTTTTTTCAAAATTCAAAGTAGTTTTTCAAATGCGCAATTTTCAGACCACCTTTGTTTAAAAAGTCTAATCTAAAATATGCAGTTTTAATAAGGTTTAAATTCTCTTTAGTCATATGAATTCATTACCTGAGTGAAAAGCCGAAGCAACGCTGAGACTTTCCCGGCTAGAATAAGAAGGGTTTTGCATATAGGCAATTCAGTTTTGCTTCTTGGTTTCAACCGGACAGATCTGTCCCAAAACCGTGTGCATCATCAGTACGGTTTTGACTGAGCAATGCTTTTAGCTGACATCTACAATGGATGAAAAAGAAAGAGGGAAAGAATGAAGTTCAGCATCCATCGGAGAGGCATAAAATATCTTTATAGATGACGTTCCTGGTGAATAGGACTGTATGATTATATGGCCTGTGTATTTCAAATTCTGCTGGGAGAGCTTTGCAGCTTAGAGATAATGGTGGTGGTGGCTCACTCGTACTTACCCATTGAATTGCTTTGTGTGCTTAATGTTATTTATTTGCTTATCTGGTGCTGATGAAATTTCATCAGCCCTATTGTAATGGGTTTAAATCTCATCCCTGCCAGGCCTTGGAGGGAAAGCTGTAGGAAATGCTTCCTGAGCTGCACGGGAGGGGCAGTGCTTGTGAGAAAGGCATCTGTTGAGTGGGCATTTCTTCAGCTAAAAGCAAGATGCTGTGGGAACCATGTGGGAGCTGGATCCCCCTCCCTGCCCCTTGGCTCGTGCCAGTTTGAGGAGTTTTTGTTCCTCTCCACCACTGACTGCTGCACACAGTGGCTCAGGCACAGAGTGACTCTGCTCCTCTGCCTGCCGTGCTGCAGACACGGTGGGAGGACATTGTGCTTTGTCTGCTGGGAGATGCTTCTGCTCTCCATAGCAAACCGTGCATCAGCCCCTAAAATCACCGTGTCCAAATGAATGAGCGTCCAGGGTGTTCCGTAAGCTGCAGCCAGGTTTCAGGGGCTCTCAGGGTCCCCATTGGGTGGTTTTTGATGGATCTTTGTGGCTTTTGGTCGTGCTTTTTTCCTTGTAACAGAAAAGGCAGCTCTTCCTCTCTTGTCTCTGAAAAATTAATGGCTACATCCTCCCAAGCCCATCTCCAGTCCTTTAGCTCTGAGACGGCTGAATCCTGCCATGCGTGGAGCTCAGTGGGAACGGGGGCTGTCTCTGCCTGGCTGTGAGCAGCACAGTGTTAAAGGCCTTCTTGCAAAGCTCAGACAGATAGCAAGATCGTCAGCTTCTCTGAAAAACACCCAGCCGTTTCTTTGTGCTGAAAAGCCCTGGCACTGGCAGGTCAGCGGGAAGCGGGGCGACAGTCAGCCCTGCAACCAGGCGGCCCCGCGCGCCTGCCAGCAGATCCACCGGCCTTTGCTGAATCATGGCTCACTGCTGCTGTGCCAGGGTTGCACAGATGCTAAATGCTCTATTCAGAGGAAAAGTAGAAGATCTTCGGCTGTGTCGGATGCTGTCCATGGAGCCAACAGATGAGCCTCCGGCGGGGTATGCAAGCTCACTAGCTGTCAAGCTAGGAGTCCTCTCTGGATGGTGTTCCAGGAAATTCTTGTCCAGAGGCAGGTTGGGACTAAATGTATCTTTCCAGGGAGACTGGGGGAGACGCTAATTGCTCTTCTCCAAAAAACAGGTGGGAGGAAGAGAGAAAAGGAGGCAGAATAAGGAAACCGTAAGCCTCATTTAAATCCAGCACAGCAGATTTGCGAGTGGTTTGCCTCCGGGTCTGCAGCTGGGAAGCAAAGATGTGAATATCCGCAGATGTTTAGTGAACTGAGCCGGGCTGGGAGGACTGTTAGGGACCACGAGTTGTGAGTGGAGTAGGAACTGCTTCTCCCATCCACATTTTCCTACCAACAGACAGGGCAGTGCGTGGGGAAAACTGTACCCAGTGCCCTGTGTGCATTTGCGGCAGAGCGGTCATTCTTCTGTACATGCACACACACAAACACACACACACACGAGCAGCACATATGTGTGTCATTTTACACTCACGTTCATGCCCAAGTTGCTTTTGTGCCCTGTACGCTAGGTTAACATTGTATTTTAGTATTTCAGTGCTAAGCAGACCTGTAAATAATACCAAGTGGCAGCCAGATGAGACCAGGATATAATCAATATGATCCTTTGAGCTCTGGGAGGCGGGCCATATGTCCAAATAATTTGGGCCCACCATTTTTGGGGGCAAAAATTAGGTACTTAATCCTTTCCTATTTTATACCTCTGTTTTTATGGGTGATTTCCTTTTGGAACAAGTTCTCGAACTTACTTGGTACGTTTCTGTGAAATGGCTTTGTAGCTGTCTAAGGCAGAAATCAAATTGCATAGTCATCTTGCTAAGGCTTAAAAAAAGCTGGGTGAGAGATCTGGTTACTAGCATTGGAGTTTCTCTTGCGTAGTTCTATATATCCAGTTAATTTATTGCCAGCAACAAACCCACATGAGTTTGCTTCCTTGCTGCTGGTAACCTGAGCTTCATTGCTGGATTCATTTGCTCTTGATGGTCATGGAAAATGTGCGATTACACTAATAGCTGGTTATTAATCACTGCCAGTGGCTGTAATTATATCAGCTATTAGGAAGTCAACTAAAAGCAATGTCTGTCCAACCAGCATGGAGAATAAGGAGAAACACGGTCCCCGCTTCACAGAAGCAGATAATGTTTGTCAGTGACTTCATCTCCTTTTGCAGATAAATGCACATTAGAAAAATAACTCTGAATTTTAGCACCTTTCTACTTCCACTCCAGTGTCCAGACCTATTTACTATGCCTCGCTCTATACCACAGTGTTGGTTTTCTGAGCACTGCAAGAAGGATTCAGGGTTAAGAAGCCGTTGTGCTGTCCTCTCAGACCCACAACCAAGCGAGACCCTCTTCTCTAAGAGTGCCTGGTCCAAATCCATCTCTGTAGAGTCCTGGTTTACCCCTGTATGTCACTTTTGGATTGCTTTTAAGATGATCAGTGTATTGTTATAGCTGTGTATCCCTGCTGGGTGTATCCACAGGGGTAGAAAAGCATCCCTTCCTGCAGCAGTGTCACACCTTGCCAGCAGACACTTCTTCTGAGCGACCGATTAAATTGGCAAATGCAGAGTTTGGAGTGTGCAGCAGAAGTACGTCTGCACTAAGCATGCTGCTCCTGGTGATCACCTGTGACGAAATGGTGGCCGAGCAGTGTCCTGTGTGCACCAGGATGGTCATTTTGCTTGGGACATCTTAAATACCTGTGGAATTTTGATGTTGCAGCTGGGCAGAAGTTGCCTATATCCTTATCGTGATGGATGCAGTGACTGGCACGTGCTTTTGCTTGCGCAGGAATAATTAGAACTTCCCCTTGTTCACAAGGAACTTTTGCTCCTTTACATGTCTTTTATGCAAAATCCATGTTTTCCTTTTGGCTCATGCCCCTAGGTGAATTTTTTCTGTCTTGAGTATGGATTGCTGTGACCTCTTGTGCTGAGAGCTTGGTGCAGCTCTGCTGAAGAGTGGTCTGGCTGGGGCAGCCCTTCTAGATGCTAGTTTGGCATGTTAGCACTCCCTTCCCGCTGTCCTCCTCCACTTGATGACTGTGGACAAAACATGCTCCTGGTGGATTTGGAGGCACTAGCGTTAGATGCTCCGGGGAGTATTTCAGCACTGGTGTGAAACCAAATAGGTAACATGTATCTTGAGCTGTGACCTTCCCCGTGTGTGTGATTTCAGGGCTCATCAGGAAAAGGGAACAAAGTAGATACCTTCTTATAGTGGCTGAGAAGATGGTTGGCTGTTGTTGGCTGATTGCTTGCAATAGGATGTTTAATGCTCCTGGAAACTGGCTGACAAACCAAAATCGTCTCGTGGAGCAGTAGATGGGAGAGCATCAACTGGGCTCCAGATGAAGGTGTGTTGTGTCAGGTTTTGCCTGATGGGTGTTTGTTTACTCTCCTCTTCAGGTAACTTTGCTGAGAGATGGCGGAGCAGCGTCAGGACGTCACCGTGATGGAGGATCATGCAGCTGGCCAGGAGAAGCACATCCCATCAGGTGAGCACCTCCAGGAGGAGATGGTGTAAAGGACCTGCCTTTCCCACTGCTGAGAGAATGACCTAAGTGGGGAGAGCAGGGCCAGCGTGCGAGGGGTCCTTGGGGACGGCCAGGAGGAGATGGTATGTGTGTCTGGAAGGTTACTGTGGATCAGCTGGCTGCAGACAGTGGACAGTGGGTAGCCCACAAGATGCTCTATGTTCATAGTCGTAGGAAAATGCTGTTCTTTGATATCATTGCCCAGCAAGAACAGAACAACCCCCAGTGTCCAGACTAGTGATGATCTTATTGCTGCAGCTTTGCAAATGTATGTTTCTGTGTTCACTCCTCAGTTTGCTATAAAAATGCAGCACTGCTTTTATTTGGAGACACAGCTCAAGGATGCTGCTTGCTGCCTGCTTTTCTCACCTGCACAGGGAGATGGGGAGAACTGAACAGAGAGCTCTGGGAGCGGGGGCCATGCAAGAGTCTTTTGCCCCATATTTCAGACCTGCATTTCTCAAGAAGCCTTTCCTTTCTCATTCCACCATGCTCCACAATTGAGCTTGGAAACCCACGTAATGCCAGCAAACCTGGTGGGACTCACTCCTGGCTATGCTCCATATAGACATCATCTTAATTTTCTTTTCTTGAGGTGCTTTGGACACAGCTTACACCAGATAAATGGATTGTCTCTGTCCTGGAGAGAATCCATAGCATCCATTCATCCCGGGTTCTGTAATGCATTTCAGTCTGATAGCTCCTCTCAGCTTGTAGCCTCAGCTTCGCACATCACAGGTTCCCAGGGATTTTCCTTATGTTAGTTTGAATCTTCTTTTCCAAGTAATTTTCTCCAGTTCTCATTATTTTATTTGCCCAGACTCCTTGCAGAGAGGAGACTTGTGCCTCTTGCCCTGCTCTTCCAAAAGATGACTTTTGCAACCAAGTCTTCGCACAGTACGTTATGTGCTACACCAAGCCCTTTACAAAGACTTGCTGGTTTGCAATGATTAGAATTAATGCATCATGGGAAGTGTTCAGCAGCCTGCTCTGGGAGGGAGGCTAATGGCTCCAGACATGGCAGAGAGGACAACAGTGACTCAGAAGTTGTACATCTTTTCTGCTTACGTTGCTAAGATCTCCTTTCCTGCTTGTGCCATGCTTTGCTGTTTCTAGCTGTCCAGTTCACTGGGCTTTTCTTTTGCTGATGGGTTTCCGCTTGTTCCTTTTGGTGATGACACTGATGCTTTTGGTTGGCCTTTTCACGCTTTGCTTGCTTATTAGTTCAGGTGTTTTATACTCTCCAATTACAGTTTCTTGCTGCTGTGGATCTGGGCAATCAGAGTTCGTAACACACAGGCCATAATTCATAGCCAAGGGCTTGTTCTAAGTATTTGAATGTTTTCCAGGCTATCCCCTTCAGATACCAGTCGATGATGGATCAGATGAGCCTGTTTCTGAAACATCTGACGCTAAGAGCACCCCAACTACGGAAGGTGGGAGCTCTTTGACTTACTGCTTTGAAACCATGATGGATGGGGTTGTGATAAACCTTGCCGAAAGACTCACCGTGCCGTGTTCTGGTGGGGTTTCTCAGGAGGAGTGCCTGCACTCTTGGACAAATGCTCTTCATTAGTCTCATCACAAGCGATGTTTGCCACTCAGCAGAATGAGATAATGAGCTTTAAAGGTGGAGAGTGGGTTGGAAGTCAAGAGAAGGTGAAGTGTTTATTATAGTTCAGGAAGTTGCTTGTGGTTTGTTTCCTGAAGACGACTTACACAGTGACTGCAAGGTCCCGTTAGCTCAGTGCAGCCGGGAGCAATCCCATGTTGTGTGTTCCCAGGGCCAGAGGTTTGCATCATTGTGCTCCCCCAAGATACTGACAGCACGTCCTGGTCGCTGTGTTCCCTTTCAGAGTTAGCTGTACCTCATAGCTCTTTTTTTGCCCCCTCTGTATTTACATTTACATTAGTACAGCATGATTCATGCTGGAATGATGAGGTGGGCAGAGTCTATACATAAAACAAAACTTTGTGCTGATCTAAAGGTCATATTGGTAGGACTCAGGGCATGTCTGTGCTGCTCCAGAGTGTTATCTGAATGCCATGTTTGTAGAAAGAATCTAATTCCGAAGTGGTCTAGAGACTTGTTCACCATTTTAATTAACTGCACTTTTTGTGTTCCTCTGGCTGCTTTAATCCCAAGTATCTGCCTCTTGGAGACTTCAGGTAAAGGCATTAGTTTGCAAAATTTATCTAAACGAAAGGTGGACAGAGATGCTGACCGGTTCCAGCCCTGTCCCGCTGGAGGTGTGGGCCGATTGATCGTCTGTGAAAGCAGCTCTGTTCCTGTGCATGTGGCTCAAGGAATGTAACATACTCAAGTATGTAAGACCTGGCTAGTGCAGAAGGGGATATTGCCCCTCTTTCCTGTTGGATCGGGACTGTCATGACGAGAAGACATCCCTCTGGTAGACGGAGCCAGGTATCTGTCTGTCTCAGAGCTGCCCAGAGTGCGACGCAGTCGCAGTGCTCGGATGGTTTATGAAGGTATCTGATGGGAGCTGTTCTTTCCTGCTCCAGACCAGTGATGTCCCCATGCAGATAGCATTGCAGTGCATGCAGATCAGGTACCAGTGGCTGTCTTTAGGTGTGCATTTTCAGACAGTGTTTATGGTAAAACCTTCAGCTGCGTAAGGAGTACGCTGGAGATGTGTGGTTTGTGTCACAGAAGGGACCGCTCATGGTGTCCCTGCGATACTGGCTTTGCTACGTCACACTCGGTTTGTCTCCCTCCACAAGCACTGGCTCGAGGGAGGGAGTCGGGTGCTTTTCTGAGCAAAAAGTTCTTCGGGCATGTCCTGGCCTCCACAGGGTTTTGCCACTCAACAGCTATGTGAAAGCTGCGTTGTTTTTCAGATGCCACAGCACCTTTAGTGGAGGAAGGAGACCACGAGGATCAGGGTGGTGTCGAACAGCATGGGGAGATCCCGGAAGGAACCACAGGTGAGGGTGACCAAGGTGCAGTTTCATCTCTTGATGCAGACAGAGCAGAGAGCTGGACTGGTTAGTGCTTAAAAATAACACTGCAAAACCTCTTGCAGGCATGCTTTGCTCCTGATGTGTGCTTCTTTCTTCTTCACGGCCTGCAGAAATAATTCCTAGCTTACAATTGTCCTCTTGCTTTCCTCATCCTGGGGGAAACTCGCAGCCTTTTCTTCTCTCTTTCTCAGCTCCACATCTGACAATCTTTCTATCTGGTGTCTCTGTGGTGGCTTTGCCTCCCATCTCCAGGCTAAGCACTTACCCACAGATCCCGGTCATCTCTGCCCCTCTGCCAGCCCCGCTTTGGTGGTGAGGCGAGGCGGTCACCGCAGGACCTTGCTGCTTGTCTCACTGGTGCTCTTGCTCAGTCCAGCCCATGCGGTTGTCTTTGAAGTGGCAGGTGAAAACCAGGCCACTGCAGCAGTTCTGTGGCTGCCGGCGCGTTTTAAAGATAATGCAGAGGAAGTGAAGTGGCTAATTCAGCCTGAATGCTCTGTGGGGAATCATGGCACCTGGGCCTGGTTTTCCAGGGAGGGATGGGGGTCTTCCAGAGGCAGAGTAAGAAGGGAGTGAGCTGCAGCAGTGCTGTGTGTGTACAAGAGAGCAGGAGCTCCTGGGAGAGTTGGGTCTGTATGTGAAAAATGAGTATGTGTCCCCTGTGCGGTAGCCACTGGCTTTTCCTGGAAGCATCAGGCAGGACCTGAGAAAGGTAGTGGGTGGAAATGGGCTTCTGCCAATGCCCGAATGCTGAAACAAGCCCACACAGCACAGTCCCTCGGGCAGCCAAATTGTCTATGCTGCATCCAGTCCCCAGGCTGCTGGTGGAGAGAGTGGCTCGCTTGCTAGCAAGGATGCACAAGTCTCTGGTTCAAGATCTGACTGTACCAGGGAGCCGGGAAGAAGCAGTGTGTCCTGAACTCTTTGGAAAAAAATGGGGAAAACAGGGAAAGTCCTAGTTTGACTGTAGAGCTGTGACATACAAATACAATTGATTAAGCTGGTTTGAAAGTAGTCATATAATACATTGAAAAAATTCTGATAGAGACAAACCATCATTGCTGTGAAGGAAATTGTGCTTCTCTAATGTACCAGTATTCCCGAAGTGTCAGAATTATATCAGACTTGGATTTAGTGGTGTCAGATAGCCTCGGCAGAGTTCATTACAGTAAGCTAGGTAGTAGACACCAGGAAGGTAGGGCTCAGGTAAGAGTTAGACATTCATGTGAGTGCTGCCGGCAGCATAAACACTAGGTGAGGGTAGAAGAGGGATACAAATCCACAAGTTTCCCTGCTCCTTAACAGCCTGTTTTCTGCACCTCTGCCTGAAGGAGCTTGTACTAACCTGCCACCCAGGATGTGCGAGTTGGTGAAACGCTCCTCCAGTCTGGTGCAGCACAGGCTGAATAGATCTACCTAGATCCATCGTCGGTGTGGGTTGATTACCTTTCTGATACTGCCCTGCTGTATCAGCACTGATGGGCAGAATCAGCAGGGAGGTAAATAAATTCTCCAGACACACACTTAAACTTAATTCTTGTTTTGATCATGTTTTTCCCCTTCTTTCTCTGAACTGGGACCAGCTGAAGAGGCAGGCGTAGGAGCCACCCCCAACCTGGAGGATCATGCTGCAGGAGATGCTGCTCAAGGTTAGTGAATCATCTGTCACTGGGGTCCAGTTATTGCTGCCCACATGGGTGGCTGGTTACTAGTGGCTTGGGAATTTTCTTCTGTAATGCAAATGCTCTGCGCAGTATGAGCAGTTGTGCAGTTCCCCCTGTTCCTGAGAGGGGAGGGTCATACATGCTTTGAATGTTCTGACATACTCATTTCAGGGAACTGCAGCTTTTCATGCACAAATTTCTCTCTCAGATGGCTGAAGCCCTGGTGCTTGTTTGTCCAGTTACAAAACAGGGCATCCTCCAGGCTAGAAAATGTAATAAACAGAGCCGGGATGGTGCAGTTAGCCAGGAGGAACTGCTCAGCATTGAACAGAGTCAGTTTTGGGCCCTGCATGTCACACATGAAATAAGTGAATTGTTTAATTACTGTGTCTCTTTCTAACGTAAACCATGTCTCAAACCTACTCACTGATGTCCTGACTTTAACATTAAGGGTGTTTTTTTCTCATCCCAGTCTTAGGGAATGTGACTGACAAAGTCAGGCACGGTGGGCAGTGAACGTTTTTAGAGCATTAAATGTGCATCTGCTCAGATGAGTCAAGAAATTATCCAGGGACCTCTTGGCTATCTGGAAAGCCTCTCTTGACTCTGCTCCATTCAGACTTGATGGAAAACTTTAGGACGGGATTTTCCCAAAGCACCCGGTGCTAGCTTAATTCTGTGCCCAATGCGGCAGACTTATGGGTTCAAACTCACTTTGATATTGCTGTCTTGCTAGCACTAATACACCATAGCGCTAATTTGGTGCGCTGTTTAAAATCTTAGTTAAACCCCATTTGGTAAGGTAGTTTTCTGCACAGTAGACATAACAAATTCCTCCAGTTGCTTGGGCAGCATCTTTCCTCCTCATGGCTGCATTAGTGCATTTACAGACATCCGCGTCTTTTAAAGAAGTAAATAGGTCTTTGCCTTCTCAGCTGAGGGCAGAATTCAGGTCGTCTTTGCTTTCCACACACAGATGGGCACAGTTATGTGCAGTCTGCTCCCTGCAATTAAAATAAAACCTTTGCTTGCCTGTCCAGTGGTTCTTGGACTAGCAACTCTTCTGTATTTAAAATAGTGGTGCCACTACAAAAAAGAAATCAAGATTGTTAGCAGGAGGGGAGTGAAGTTCTCTCTTCTGTCTGCCCTGTTCAGTCTGGTTCTAGCTGCTTTTTCTCAGCAGATTTTTAATAAGACCTTTCTGTACTGTCCTGGGATCTTTCAGCTGTCAGGTGTGGGGACATACAGCTAGCTGGAGCTCTGATATAACCTATATATGACATTTCTAGGTTCTTATGTAAATTGTTACTTCTCTGAAAATGGACTTGTAATAATCTACTGCTTCCTTTTAATGGTTCTCTTTGATTCGGAGGAAAATGTGATTATCGATACACACACAGTCTTGGATGTCTCATTACTAGCTACCTTCATTTTTTGTGTCGTGGGATTTGAAAAAATGATCTTTGCAGTGAAGATGGAGCGTGTTAAAATGCTTTTGGAGTCTCAGGTGGAGAAGCGCCTTCTGATTCACAGCTTGTGCCGTGCTGGCATTCTGCCAGCTCTTGACCTCGGGCTGCACATTTGCCTCAGAACCCCCGACAGGTCCTGGAGTATGGAAGCACAGCTAATGAACTGACCGTCCACATCTCTGCACCGGCGGTCGTTAATGGTCATGCTGTTTGCAGAAGAAATGAGCCAGGACGGTCTGCTGGCTACTGCATAAACACCCTTCAAATCCCTGTGGTTATAAAAGGCGTTTCTTGATGCCACGTTTCAAATATTACCTGCCAATAGGTGCCAATTTAAGATTTCTCTTAAACCACAATTTCGGAGGTCTTTGTGTGGTAGTTTCACTTAACCATTATATGCTCTTAAAACGGGGAGAACATTGATAAAAGACCGAGTCAGTCTTGACTTCTTTTCTTGTTTTAATCTTGTTTGTTGATCTAACAAAGCCACAATCGAAATCTCAGTACTGAAGTGCTCTTTAGTTTACCTGCTCAGTGCTCAAAAAGACCAAAGAGTATTTGAAGCTGGACAAATTCATAATATAAGATATACATTCTTACTAGGGCATTGACTTTAAAGCAATTTACCTATGTTCAGAGTGAATTCTCCATTGTTCAGTGCATCTTTGCTTCAGTTGAATGAATTTCTAACAGAAAAGCTCCAGCTTAACTAGAATATATGACTTAATGCAGCAATTGTTGGGTGAAATTGTAAAGGTCTGTGTCACGCATGAGATCAGTGATAGAACAGAATTCTCGCTTTTACCCCCCCAAAAAAAGGAGAGATCTGTGTCTCTGTGACCTTAAGTTTGGGTTTTAAATGTCACACTTTCTACTCTGCCCAAATGGTGGCAGCAGCACTGGAGCTCTGATTAGCCTGAGTGGGCGCACAGTCCAAAATTGCTGTGGCATGTGGCTGCAGCCACATTTTCACTTAACAGTCCTTTCTACTGAGGCTGTCTGCTCCACTGGCTGTTGAAATACAGCAGTAAGAGAGGAGACATAGGAGTGCTCTTCCCCAAGCTTATTAGCAACAGAAATGATCTGGAGAGCAAAGCAGAGATGGTTTGAGCTCTGAGAGCATGTAACTGGTGCCTGCATGAACATCTCCTGCAAGGGAGGAGAGGACTGTAGGGATTTTGTAAGCCCGTGAAGGAGGAGAGGGTGTCTGGCCTGTTTTGTTCAGGCCCTTGAGGCAAGAAGAGGTGGTCACTGACCAGCAAACTGACGGTCCAGTGGTGGTGTTAGATTAGAAAATGGGGGTGTTCTTTGCTTCTGAAAACCTCTATAGCTAAACCAGCTCATAGAGCGCCGGTGTGGCAGATGTTGGTGGTTGGATACCCTGGCCACCTCTGAGACCGGGTCCAGGGAGGAGTCCGGTCTCCCACGTGCTGTGGCTGTCACCGTTCCTGATTCCCATGGGGATCAGAGTTTCTTTAAAGGCAAAAGCCACTGTAGAAGTGAGTTGTCTGTTCAGTGGGGCAGTGTGGGACTTGCTTTTATCCTCTAGATTGATAGTAGAAATCCTTAGTCTCTCTTCAGCATTACATGACTGACTACCTATTTGACATGTCTGTGCTAATTGTCTGCCCATGCTTCATGCCCTGCGCCTTCAACTCCAGGGGAGCCAAGCTCTCCAAAGCTACAGCCTGGCCCTCAGGAGCGTGTGGGAGATGCAATAAAAAGAGAAAGCCAGCCCACAAAGCAGGTAGCTGGGGTTCTTCAGCAGCCTCTTCTGTCGCATGAAACGAAGGCTACAACAGCAGCTCCCACCAGAATCGAGGTCACCATCCCAATACCCCTGGATATGTACCAAGACTCCAGAGCATCTGAAGACAACGAGTTGTGGGATCATCGAGGCAGAGAAGGCATTGGTATGGATCCAGCGCTGGGAACAGAGCTAGGTCGTGGTGTGCGCACTGAGGGGTTGGCAGGAGCAGGTGGCACAGACGACTCCCATATTAAAGATGGGCCATCTCCTTCTTCATATACCAGAGCTCCATTAAAAGAAGATGCCAGTGGACGGGAAAGAGATGAGGACCGTGATATTGATGAAACTTCTGAACAGGATTTGCTTTCCCTGGTGGCACAGCATGTTTCACCAGGACCTGAAATGGGCTTGTGTCCAGCAACAGCCAAGGAAGCTCTTGAAGAATATGCCTTTGAAGAAAACAAGTCCAAAGATGTCCTCAGAGACATACCAAGAGAGGCACTTCGTGTTGAAACTGAATCACATAAAGCAGGAGAGGACCAAGAGGAGAGGAGACAGCCATTGAGGGGGGAAGAAGACACAGATGTCACTCCATCAGAGCCTTCCGAAATCATCTCCCAAAAAGAAGCAGAACCCAGGGAGGGAGAAGATTCTGGACCCTTGCTAGAAGCAGCCAAACTCCCTGTTGAGTTAAAAGATGACGTGGAAGACAAAGATGCTCCTTTGGAAGAGGCTGTGCCAGATACAGGAGAACGCCGGACACCCAAGAAGAAACCTTGTGCTCATGTTGCAGATAAAGCCGTCAGTCGCGTCCCTCTCCTAAAAGGTGTGTGCAACGTTTGCCTACCCTGAGCTCACATTGCTGGTGGCTTGCTCACGACAAGGCTGCCTGAACCAGTACTTCAGCTTGCTGTCACCTCTCGAATCCTGCTGCTTGGGAAATGGCCTGGACCTTTGCTGTGAACTGATCTACAAGGCACCGCTGCTTCTCCCTTCCCCTCCTTCCCCCTTTAGTTTAATCCTGGATGTCCTGGCATACTTGCCAGACCCTCACGCTTTGGTTTTGCGTCCCTTGCATGGTGCTGGCGTGTCCCCAATCATGCTTTGTTCACTTGTTTTTGTTTTGATTTCCTTGGATCTGTGGGGTGGGCACCTTAACTCACACCTGGCACCTTCCCAGAGAAGACAAAGACCGGATGGACGTTGTTCTGGCATGTTGGAGTGGGGCTAACCCGGCGCACGCTGCAGCTTGTTCCAGCAAGACACGTGCCATCTGGTTTGCATGTGTCCACTGTCTGGTCCAATAACTCTTTGTATTGGCTTTCCTAAAGAGGAGGGAGGAGGAAAAAGGCAAGTGAGATGGCAGGTCTAACCGTGGAAAAGGCCACACATTGGTCCTGTTTCTTGTACTTTTCCCTTAAGTATCCACTACTGACTGCTGTTGGAGGCAAGGTCTGCAGCTAGCTGGACCTTTGCCCACTACAGGGCATGTCCGATGCTCTTACAAAGCATCCTGCTCCGATCCCAGTTCTGGACGGTGTGTCCCTGGGTGGTCCAACGTGATGGCTGTATTTAGGGTGTTTTGTGGGAGCTGCCTGTGTGTGTGGAGGCCTGGCTTTTGGGTGCATCTAACAACGTGTGTGTCTCTAGGCTGGGCTAGGCTGGGAGGGCTGTCAGACCCTGGAGCTGCTGTGTTCATGCGGCAATCTCGGTCTTAGCTGTCTTGGGTGAAGGTCTGAGTTCACCGCTCAATGCACAAGCATCCCTGCCAGCAGAGCAGCTCTTAGACCTTTTCTTTCTCCAAGAGCTATTTTCCCCTTTACTGGGGGTCAGAGGGATGTCACTGGGGGCCCGGCTCAGTGGCCAAATGCAGGTTTTGCACTGAATTGTGTTAATAAGCTGGGGCAGCAGGACACGCGTTAAAACCCAATGGTGTCTCACCGTGTTGTACCTCAGCTCTGGCTGTCCAGGGCCTGGCCTGAGGGGAGCTCTGCCTTTCACCCCAGTGCCACATCCCAAAAGCTGGCTTGGCTGCTTCCATTAGCCTGGAAATGCTGCTCTGGTTTGCAGCAGAGAGAGCGTGCTCTTTGCTGCGCGGGGTTCCTGAGGAAATTGTTGATGTAGCTTTTTCCATTGGAGCTAAAGCTCATAACATATTTCTCGTTGTTCACTACCTAATAAGCCAGCGGGAAGCTTCGCACGTGTGCTGCAGGGCATTGGCATGGCTTGCTATCGCTAGCATCGGAGCCTGAAAATGATGACCGGTTGGGGATGCATTGCAGAGTCAACCAGTTTCTGATTCAATAGGAGGAATTTCTTTAGTTATTTAATGGTCTTTTCCTTCAAAGACAGAGATACTTTGTGGCTGTTCAGCTCCAGCCTTGCTCCAGTCTGTAGTTTAACTGAATTTGGGAAGGGTAGTGCATCCAGCAGCTCTGGGAGCTGGGACGGGTCAGGGTCGTCAGTGCTGGATTAACAGCATTGTTCACGTCACTGGGAAAGGGCTGACCCCCCAGGGCAAGTTTCCAAAACACTGGGGAGAATATCAGCAGCTTTTCCTCCCAGATTAGGGAGGAATTAGCTGAAGACTGGGAAAAGGGTCTTTGTTGTGAGTGCCTTATAGTACAAACATTACTTCCTCCCTGTTTCTAATCTCCTAATTAGTAATACTGCAGTCTGTTGTGCTTGTAGACTAATGGGACAAAACACTGAAATATTGTCAGAGTCACTGTAAGCTTGATACAAATCAAGTAGGACAACAGCTAAAACCTTAAGACCCTGCAGGGTCTGACCCAGATCGAAGGCGCGCTGTCTGCTGGGGAGGCAGAAAGCAGTGTGTCAGGAGAGAGAGGAAGTAACAACAGCCAGGTATAAAACCGCTTTGCAAAGCTAACACACTGAACAACAACTTTAAATGAGATCACGGGCAAGCCGGTGCTGCTAGGGTTGGGGCATCCTCCAATTTTAGTCTTTATATATATGGTTGTTAGAACCAATGGGTGTTTTAGAGAGGGAGACTCACGTTTAGGGTTGAAGACAACTGTTCTGTCCTACACTGAACAGATGCTACTGGAACTGAGTGCAAATCTGGGCAAAATGGTCTCATACAGACCTTGTTGCGTGTGTCGGACACTCCAGTGATGACTAATGCACTGTTGCCTGTGCACAGGGTAATCTGTTAACCCAGAAAGAATGTGTTTACGATGTGGAAGTATTTCTGCAAGAAATGAGTGACTTTGTAATATTTCTAAGAATAGTATTTAATTTAAAGGAGAGCAGGAACATGGAACACCCACCCAGCCTGCATGTTGCTGTAGCGCAGGCATTATCATCTCTCTAGAGTTTAATGACCAGTCCCAAGAAGCGTAACTGTGCGTGTTTCCATTTGTCAGGTCGTATTGACAGCAAAGACAAGGAAGGGACTGAAGCTGAGGAAAAGAAACCGAAGGTAAGCTAAAAAATAAAACCAGAGGTGACGTTAACCCACTAAATGCTGTGCATGTTCCTGACTCCCTCTCCTGCTCCCCTGGACTGCAGTTGTGCCTCTTAGGAAACGTTGCCATTATCTTCCATTCTTCCATCTGTCTTTCAAGAGTGTTCTTATTTTTTCTTCCCTCACCTCGGTTTGGATGGTGCAATCCATAGTGATCTTTGAGGGCGAGGAAGCGAACCAAATCTAAAACAAACATGTGGCTCATGGGGTTGGGTGGGTGGTTAGAGAAATCATTTTCTCAGCCTGAGACCGTAAAGCAGCCAGCTGGCTTTGCTGGGGCAAACCGGTGCAAAAGCAAACTCAAAACTGCCTTGGGCTGTATTGGGGACAAGCACCATAACAGTGCTTGTTAGTGAAAAGAGCAAGACGTGTAATTAAAAAATTAAATTAAATAATCTGGGCTTTGCAGATGCTGTGTTCTGGGTGAGGAACAGAGTTTAATAGTGGGTAAATTCCAGAAATTTAAAGGTATCCATCACACTGCTAATTTGGAGGAGGTTTAGTTCAGCTGGCCATTAGCCTGGCTAGTGCCTGGGTGAGATAATGGACAAGCTGGTGGGCAATTTAGTGGGTGAAGAATTAAAGGTGAGGAATATAGTTATTTTCAAACAATGTGAAATTGGGTCTTTCTCTAGTGAGGTTTGGCAGGGTTGTATCAGGCTAGGCATTTGACATGATACCAAGCAGTTGTCTAGGTAAAAACCATTGATCCATTATTGATAAAGCACAGGTATGATGGGGTTGAGAGACCTGGGAGCAGTCATCTGCATCTCCCAGAAACGCTGGTGTTGATAGTGCTGTACCTGCAGCATCTTTGCCAGTGGAACACAGAGAGGGTTTGGGAGTAAATAGAGCAGTTCAGATGGTAAAACGTGCCACTGGTGTGAAGGGCGGTGGCAAGGGCAGGCTGTCACTTTCCCCAGAAAGGGGCTTGGGTGTTGCTGCACCCTGTGGGAGGAATAGAGCTGAGGTATCCCATGCTTGCTGGTGCAGCCATGGGACCCTGGCAGTGCCCTGGGCCCCGCAACTCTTGCCCAGCTCTGTGCTGCAGGGAGAGGGCAGTACCAGCCATTGCCTATCCCACACCCAGTTCTGTATTGCACCTTCTAATCCTATTTAATGTCGGTGATCCCCTTTTGTTTCCCTCCCATACTGATTTTTTTTTTGTTCCAATTTTATTTTGTTTCCATGTTTAAGAAATCCTCACCTTCCACTGCCAAACCCCCAGGCGATAGACCCTCCATCCCCCCCCAACGACACACCTCCTCTAGCACAACCCCTTCGAAAACACCTTCCAGCCCTGCTTCCACCTCTAAACGAGTCTCTTCCGTCACATCCCGACCTGCCAGTACAGGAACGCAAGAAATGAAAGCCAAGGTAAGGAAATGGGATGTGAGAGAGGCAAAGCTGCCTTGGGGAATACCATAAGGCATTCCTGACAGGTCTGGCAGTGCTTGGCTGGGCAGTCTCTCCATGTCCCATTCAGTGGAGAGGGTGGGATGTGCTTCCCCTTCACCTTCCAGTGGCCGTGGCCAGACTTGGCTCCAGTTTTGGTGTTTGAAGCAACTGGATCCATCTCACCAGCACGTAGACCTCTTGCTCTGCGTAACAGCAAAACTCTCTCATTGTTGCAGGGTGTTACCTGGTTTCCCTGAGGCATTTCCAGGTCCCTTTATGTTCTGTCGTGCTCTTCTTTGCAGCTTTATGCTGTGTTTTATGGGTGCATTGGCTGTAAACAGCAGATGTATTTGAAATGTGCCGGAGCCAGATCTGCCGGGTGCTACACAGAGAATAGGAAACGCACACACATCCGTGGCGTATTCTGCAATGTAAAAAGTAGCTTGGAATTTCCCTTTGTGGTGTTTAGTCATACAAATACACGTGTGGTGAGGGAAGGAGCAGAGATGGCAGGTTGCAGACAATGGGATATGGTTTTACTGTGATAGGGATTGCGATGGCTCTGCTCTGGTTCCCTGCTGCCTTGGGACCAGTCAGCTTGTAAATCTTCACTTGCATGTTCTTCATGAGCTTTTGTACACAGACCAGCATTAGAAAGCCATAGATTTGGGGAAGCTTTTCTGCAGGATCAGAAGACAATAAATAGCATATTGCTATTTACATGCCATTACAGATTATGTACACGTTACAGTAGTGTATTACAGGTGAGGATAAAGGAGGTGCTTCTTTGTGCTTGGAGTCTGGCACTGTACTCCTGAATGGAGCCTCTGGTCTAGTCAATGGATTTATTTATCTTCTGTACAAAATTTTAGCAGGACAGGGGAAACAAAGCGATGAAATTTAGAGAACAGACAAAGGAGTTGAACATACTTTTTAACCAGGTCTGAGTGTGCGGTGAATAATGTAGCGGAAGCTAAGAGCTCACATGGGAAAGCTGCGCAGCCGTTCTGCCAGCCCAGGAGTGACCGTGCAGCCGTTGTGGCAGGCGCCGTGATGGGAGACGGGGTGTGAACAGGCACGTCGCAAATGCCTGCATGTGGGGAAACCCGTGGGAGCTCCTGTGAGCTGTCAGGGTAGGAAGCAGGAGGGTCTCGTGTGGCTCTGATCCACGAGGAGTGATAGCCCATCCCTGGGCAGATCCCCCCTGCATCAGCCTTTTCCCCTTGCGTCCCCAGGGCCCGGAGATGAGAGGTGGCACGAAGACGGCCACGCCGCGGTCTGCAGCTGGGCAGGCTCAGAGGAACTCGACCAATGCCACACGCATCCCAGCAAAGACCCCCACGGCCCCCAAGACACCTCCCAGCTCCGGTAGGTGATGGCGAGAGCGGCACGCAGCCACCTTCCCATGGTGTCTCTGACTCTAGAGGCTCTGCTTTGGTGGTGCTCCCAGGCTCTCCATGCCGTTATGTGGGGGTAGTGAACAAATTTGCCCCAGTGCAGGCTGGGGACATGCACAGCGCTAAGCAAGGGCACGGCCAGCAGGTTGAGGTCTGCGTGGTGACTGGGAGCTGCTCAGCCTTGTCGCGGGGCTGTGGGTGCAGAGCTAGGGACGATTCCTCTGAAGTGAACCTTTCTGGATGCTGCTTTATCTGCTCTGTCCATATAGTTGCCAGTGTGTAGGAGAGGGCAGTTGCTTTATTCCTTTGGGATTTCCTCCAATTTGAAAGATTCAGGCAGCTCCATTTTTTTAATCCATCTATTCTTTTTCTCTTGACAATATTTCACAAAGACCAGAGGCAAGAAGATCAATTCTTCGATTGCAGGAATGGAGATTAGCCCATTATTGTCAGAGAAGAAAACCCCAGAAAGCATCAGGCATTGTGAATTTCCATTAAAACAGTGCATTTCACTGAATATATATATTTTTCATACTTAACCAGAGCTGCATAAAACCTTAAATCAATTAAATTTCCAGCTTTATTATGTTTAAGCATCTTTCTCATTCATTAAACAGGCAGAAAGGAGCAGAAAAAACCACCTCCTGCAGCAGCAAAGTCTGAGAAAGGTGATGTTTAAGGGTTTTCTTTTCTTCTTCCATTTCTTTTCAGACTGGGTACAGTTCTAAGCTGCTCAGTGACCAGCCTTATTTAATTACATAAACTAATTTTCTAAAAATGCTTCCAAATTTCTAATAGAAAATTGGTTTTGTTTGAGTGTCTTTTGTCTGTAATTTGTCATGCATGCTAATGTCACGCTCGGGTGGGGAGTCTTACCGGCGATCCAGACAACGAAGACCATCTTCCTTCTGAGATACTAGGAAATTGCCTTTAACCACAGTTTCACTTCAAACTGAAGTAGAAGAAAGTGCAGCCATCTCCCCCCTGCTGATGGGTCTGCACTAGAAGTAGCGGGTGGGCCCTGGGACCAGGCAGATCAACCCCATAGAGGCAGGCAGTGTGTGGGGAAGGGGTTGCATACCCAGATTGCTTATCCTGTGCTTGCTTCCCTCTGTCTGCAAACTTCAGGTGAGCAGCCAAAGTCTGGAGACAGAAGCGGTTACAGCAGTCCCGGCTCCCCCGGGACTCCAGGCAGCCGTTCCCGCACTCCCTCTCTGCCCACCCCACCAGCCAGGGAGCCCAAGAAGGTGGCAGTGGTTCGCACACCACCGAAATCTCCTGCATCTGCCAAGAGCCGCATCCAGCCGTCTGCCGCACCCATGCCTGATCTGAAAAATGTGAAGTCCAAAATTGGCTCAACTGAAAACCTGAAGCACCAGCCCGGAGGTGGCAAGGTAAATGTGGACTCTGCTTTCCAGGGGCCTGTCTGTAGGGACAGCGAGTGCTTGACGCTGCATCTGGGAGGGGAGAGCCCTCCCTGAATCAGCAGCAGCCCAACTGGGGCCAGAGGTACAGCAGTGGGCAGCCATGCTTCAGCTGATCTCCAGCCTGATTCTGATTTTGGAGTTGTTTGGGCTGATTGGGTTGGGTGCTTGTCCTGAAATTGCTTGCCTGGCTTAGTGCAGTACAGCTGTCCCGCAGAGGGGACTGCAGAGAGCTTGTGATGTGGCTTTCACGGGGTGGCACGTCAACGTATGGACTGGCTGCCAGGGGAATGACATTCCCTTATGGTGTCCGGTTAGGGAGAGCAAATTGTGACCTGCAGCTCTAAAGAGTCGCAGGATCAGGGTTGTGTTTCTGAAACCTATACTGTGTGACCTGGAGCAGTCCCTTCAACGCTGCCTCCATTTCTTCATTAGCGAGCAGACAGGATGGTCGCCTCCCTGCGAGGGTCCCAGGCTTGGCGGGTTTTTCAGAACGTTGTGATTTTGGATCCAACACTGTTGGCAAGGTTTTGGATTGCGTTCTGCAATCAGGCACTGTCTTGCTACATGATGCAGTGTGGCATGGCCAGAACTGGTGGCACTACTATCCTTTCAACCACTAGTACTTTTCACTCCCAGAGAGGTTGTTTCATGAGCAGTAAAGTGAACTCCGTGCTCCAGGTGCTTGGGAACGAGGGTCTCGTGTTAAATTTTGCGAGCCCAGCAGAGGAGAGTTTGGGTGAGGGGGTGGTGTGAGCTTATTCATCCGTGCAGCCCCAGGAGCAGCAGTGTGTGGTTACACGGCTCCAGCTGTAGTGTTGGCTGCTCAGCACCCATCCGAACCTCTCTGCTGCTCCGTTGCACTGTGTGGATGTGTCCTGAGGCTTTTATAAAATCCTCCTTGCTGCATGGGTGGAGACATGAAAGCACCTCATTCTGACTGGTGGCTCTTACACAGATGTTAAATGACAGAACTGCCCATCTGATGGCCGCTGCAGTCAGGAGTCCCCATGTGCTTGTGCTTGCCTGCCCCGGGGGGGAACACTGCCTTGCAGACCATGCTCTGCAGCTGCTAATGCAACAGAGCCGTGACAAATCTTCCCCGGGTGCGGTGCATGCCATTTTGTGTGACTAGGTAACTCCGTGGCTCTGAATGTTCGACTTTGGCATGGGGGGAGGCTTTGAGATGGCTTCTCTTCACCGTAGCAGCGTGCTTTTCCATTTCCTTATGTGCATTTTTTGCTGTGGCTGGCGATTTACTGGACAATGCACATTTTGCTCTGTACTACAATCCAGGGGGGCTCTGGAGCCTGGGCAGGGCTGCTCTGGCCATTGGTCATGAGCAGAGCAGCATGAGTCCTTCCAGCTGCCCCTGTCCCGGGGCCTCAGCCCTCCTGTCCACTTAGCAGAAGGCATAAGTTTTTCCTGCCTCCCCCACCAAACACTGCTTTTCAGGGATTTTAGAAGGAACCCTTCCTTTTACTGTAAATTGGTTAAATTGTTTGCTTGTTCTTTTTAATCCAGCTTTTACAAGTTTTTTTTTTTTCTCTGTCAGCTTCTCTCTCAGGCAACATGTTGTTTATTGTTGTCACTGAAAGAGTAAGAACAGCTGAATTTGGGACAATTCATTGTTCTTTGCAGGGGAGAATGGCTGGATGCTCTGTTGGGGATTTTGTAGGACACGAGTCTGCTCTTAGGAGAACTGTTGCAGCTGGGACAGAAGGGGCTGATCCAACGAGTTTGATTTTAGGGTGGCCAGAAGATGAGTCTGGAGCCTGCTCTCCATGCAGATTTCAGACCCCCAGCCTAGGGAAGCAAAGGTACATGGGGCACATGCACCAGGAGTCAGCCAGGCCAGATCTCTTCCCAGTATTTCTGCATTGTCTAAGCACTTTTGTTGTTGCTGGATCACTGAGTACTGCTCTGGCAAAGCCTGGTCTGGCAGAACTGGATCCTGATTTGCAGGATTAGTTGATGTGAACTTGAAAAATGAGGCTGGAGGCACGTGAGGAGCCTTGGTGCTTCTCGTGCTAAAGAACCAGGGTATAGCGAGGAGCTCTCCTTGCAGCAGCAGGCCGGGGACATGCTGAAACGGAGGGCGAGGTTGCCTGCTCGGCCAGCTTCGTGGACGTTGTCATCCAGGGACTGCATGTGCAGTGTGATGTGACGCTGCTTTCTTGCAGGATGCTGTATCTCTTTTCTTCTCATGAGGGTTGTGCTTCAGACAGGCTTTCTCCTGAGGGAGCACAGGCCTGTGTGCCTGCTGATTTTTACCTGCATTTACCTCTGGTTTATACTTGCATAGGTTGTAAAGCCACTTCAGTCCATGTAGGGGAAGGAGCAGGGACTATCTTCATCTTTGTCTTGCCTGGAATAGCTGCTCCTATGCATGGAGTCACTCCAGCATAGCTGCCCTTATAAAACCCAAATAGGGAAAACAAGCCCGAAAGGGAAACAGCTTAATTAATTAGTGCAAAAATCTGTGTGTGTGGGGAGAGCGTAGACAGGCCTTGGGACTGGAGGGTGAGGTTGGCATGGTGTGTGGTTCCCCTGTGGCACCAAGCCATTTCCAGCCTGTCTCCCACCCGAGATGGTGTTAGGAATATGCAATAGAGCAGCTGCCTTTGGGGTTGGTCTGTGCTGCCCCTTTCATCTCATCTATACGGGAGTTAAGAAGACTTGCAGGCATGGGACTGCATCCCTGGCAGCATTTGTTTTTTCTCTTTGTAACTGTAGAGGGAGTTTGAGCCCTGCACAGCGCAGAGCTCAGGTGTCCTCTCCCAGACAGTGCTGGACACACAACTCCTGCTCTCCAGCCTGCTGCCCCGGCCAGCTGCACCCATTTGCCCAGTTTGCTCAAGCTGCTGAAACGTGAGGCCACGTATCTCTGTCCTAGAGAGAGGGCATGCTGTCCAGCGTGGGAGATGGGGCTGAGCAGGCATTTTTCTCCCAGCTCCATCCTTCCTTCTTCCACTGGCTCTGCGGAAGCTGAGTCTCAGACCACTGGTGCCTTCCAGCGTGTTTGCTGCCCAGCAAGTTCCCCGTTTTGTTCAGTGAAAGAAAATGGGGTGAGCTGGCTTTTTGCTAGTGTTTCTGGGCTGGAAACCAGGGCTGCTTTGCTAGCCAGACATATCCAATCTCTAGCTATAACCTGCCCACCTCCATCTTCAGTTTCCAACCCATGAGTAGACAAATCTATGCAACAAGCCAGAGATTCTCCTTTGCTCTTGGCACTGGAAGGCAGGTTCCTGGTTTTAGTGATATAACGCATGGTCAAGCTGCAGATAGTCATGTTGTTTCTCACACTCTTTTCTGGCTACCAAAGGTGCAGATTATTAATAAGAAGCTGGACTTTAGCAGCGTTCAATCCAAGTGTGGCTCAAAGGATAATATCAAACACATCCCAGGAGAGGCAGTGTGAGTACCTTCACACTTTCAATGCACTATAATAGTTCTTATTATAAGTGGCATGTTGTATACACTAAACCGCCAATGCTATCTGCAGCGACCCTGCCGTCAGATAGCTATTGGTGACGTGCAATGACTCTTTTCTGGCTACCAAAGGTGCAGATTGTTAATAAGAAGCTGGACTTTAGCAGCGTTCAATCCAGGTGTGGCTCAAAGGATAATATCAAACACATCCCGGGAGGAGGCAGTGTGAGTACCTTCACACTTTCAATGCACTGTAATAATCCTTATTATTAGTGGCATGTTGTATACGCCAATTCGCCAATGCTATCTGCAGCGACCCTGCTGTCAGATAGCCATTGGTGACGTGCTGTCATTTAACCCCATTAACCCAAAAGACATGGTTAGATGAACCCTAACAAGTCCTGTACATGCCTGACATGGACAGAACTAACTGGCCCGTCTAGAAACCATGTCTGTAACAAAACATCCCGTTAACTCGAAGGTTTTACACTACCTGGAAGGCTTAATGCCTCATTGTCTGCAGGATGGTTGGCCTCTAGCAGACAGTGACGTAGTTGCTGATGCAGTAGATGGATAGATTTATAAGCAAATGCAGTCCTCGTTGCTTAATGCACTGCAAAATTGCACATGACTCTGCACAACATGTGACAGCGCAGGTTCCTGCCCATTCCCATCAGGCAAGTATGATCCATTCAAATATTAAGCTTCTCCTTGCTAATGAATATGTCCGGTGTATGTCAGGCAGTGCCCGTGGAGGCTGAGCCTAAAGTAATATTGAGTTAATTGATTTGAACGCCGGCATTTCCAGCCATTGCCAGCTGAATAGCCGGACTCAGCTTTCAGTTACTGTGCCAGAAACCTGGAGAAACTCCACAGCGGTTGGTGGATTTACACCAGTCTCTCTGGAGACAGAGTTTGGGTCCAGGAAAGATGACCAGGGAAGGAGCATCACTGAGACCCCAAACAGTGCGACCCAGGGTCTGTGCTTGCCTGGTCTGCAGCCACCTGAGGAAGCTATCTGGTGCCCCTCAGATGTTGCCGATGGATTTTCTTTGTGCTGTTTTTGATCTCTGTGGACGCCCTCCCTGAGAAACTGAGTATTGCAGAGGGCTTGGCACGTAAGCATTGGGACATAGCTGGGTTTGCAACCTCTGTCTTAAATTTGATGTCATTCTGCATTTATTTAATGGGCCAGAGGAGCTGCTTCGCAGAGGTCAGACCTCTGTGAAGCAGGTTCCATGCTTGTTCTGCTCTTTCTTACCCCAGGGTCCTGCACTGGCTGGACTGCCTGGTGCGTGGAGGACCACTTGTTACGCCAGGAGTTAGTGTTCGTCACGAATCATCTGTGCTGTGGCTGGTAATTAGCTTCAGCACAGGGTGGTGAGCTCATCCTTTTCTCCACTGAGAGCTCACACCATGGGCAAGCGTTCGCAGCTGCAGTGGCTGCAGTGGGTTAAGAATTATCTGGATTTTTGGCTGGAGGTTGTCATCCCTCCCCAGGCTCTGCCAGCAGTGAAAATCGTGTGATTGCTGCCGGCTGCATTGACACGGAAAGCAGCAGCTTAGCTCTGGGTGCAGGCTCTCGGAGCAAAGCCATGTGCTGACGTGGCCAGAGCGTGGCCGCACAGGCTGTCCTGGCGGCAGAGCTGTGCCTTGGGGCTCTTCCGATAGAGGGGCAACAAGAGACCACCGGGGTTTGATGGCTGTCATGTCTTAGTCCTCCACGACGCTGTCAGCAGTGACTGCCTGCCCAGCCATTGCTGCTTCAAGAGGAATGAAGTGTTGCTACAGTAACCTGGGGTTGGTATCTATTTTTTAAGCCAGTGGATGCTCTGACAAGGTGATGCATTAGGCAAAAGTTGACGTAAGCACTGCTGATGCTGAGAGGTGGGATCCCCAGGTCTCTGGCACTGGTTTCCCAGGCAAGCAACTCTGTGCCCTTTTTCCTTTCTTGCTAAAATGAGGAGGACCCTTCTCTGCTCCCCAGCAGGATGGTAAGGGTTAATGGAGTCCTGTCTATAAAAAAAGGGAACTGGAATGAGAGCAGAAAGTGTTTCAATTGCTGATTGCTTGCTCTGGAAATGGGAGGTCTTTCAGTCCCAGGTCCCAGTGGTGCCCCAATTGCTCATAGGCCCTTCGGGGTCACAGCTGGGATTAGAAAGGCACCAGCTGTCCTTTTGGGGTCTGTTTCCTGCCTCCCGACTGAATCTAGCTCTCCTCCTGCCCAGTGCATTAAACGTGTGATCTTTCCCCAACCCTGTCTTCATGTCTGTGTCTGCGATGTGCTCCCAGACCCTAGGGTTGCTTTTCTCCCCTCTCTCTGTCTCCACTCTCTGTCAAATGTGCCTTTTGGTATGCGTGAGCATTGGAGGCAAGGCAGGCCCGCGTGCATGCTGCTCTGGCTCTGTGCCGGTGGGATGGTGGCACCGAGCCTCTGTTCCCCCCACCTTTTCCTGGCTGCATGATGGAGGGAGGGGTGTTTATCAGTGGTGTGCACAACCACGGTCCAACACCTAACCTCTGAGGGTGATGGGGCCGGTGGACATGGGGCCAACATGAAGGAACTGAAGGATGCACCTTCACCCCAGGGCTTTTGAGTCAGCACAGGGCGCTCAGGTCGATGGAGAGCAGTGGCTACGGTGAATCCTTTGTGCTGGCTTTTGGCCACGTTGGTCCAGAGGCTGCCTGGCTGCTTGGAGGAGTCAGCTCCTCTGCAAAGGTCCCTTTGGTGCTGGCACATCCTTCCCGAGATTTGTGAGAGCAGCATGCCTGTCGTGGTGCTTGGTGAAAACACAGAGAGCAGCATACGCTCGCCTTGCAATCCAGGCTATTACTGAGAGCCAGATACTTCCCAGTGAGTAGGAACCAACCTTGAGGTGCTGATGATCCGATTTCTCCTGCACAGCCCCACTAACTACAGCAATAGCTGATTCACACACAGGTGTGGGTCCAAAACCAGGGTCCAAGGTAACTTCTGGGGGTATGGGGATGTTTTCTCACCCCCTTGTCTCCTGCTGCTGATGTAGCTGGTGTGTATGTGCTGTGGTTTGCCGTCCCTGACACGCCTGATGGTCCCAGACCTCTCCAGTCGTTGGTGTTTTCCAGTGTGGTGTTTAACCGCTAACGTAACCACTAAACAGCTCCACGTTAACCGTTCCTTGTGTGTGCGTCTCGTGTAACCCAGTTGTCCGTGCGCAAGAGGCCGCCGGCCCCACGCCCAGGCACGCCACAGTGCCGTGGCCGGTCTTTGAATGGGGCTGTTTAAGTGGAATTGCTGGAGCCCATGTTCAGAGACGTAATGGGTAAAACAAATAAAAAACAGAGCATAATATCATGAAATAATGTTATGGTTCAATATATTATAATTGCCATTTTAATTTATATTATGTGAACTCCTGCCAGATATTTAGACTTTGCTTTGCTTTTTTTTTTAACCCTTATTTCCATTACAGCATTTTTCAGAAATGCATATTTTGGTCATTCTTTTTAAAGTTCTGTGCACATTGATCATTTCTGTTCTTTCAGTTTTTGTGGACATAAGCTTTATGTTTTACACCAGAAAAGGTATTTATTTTTTACGTTTTCTCTCTGGTATATCTCCTCCTTTTGGATGATGTGTATGCAAATCTTAATTAATTACCACTCCACTTTCTCTCTCACTTAAGCACTTTAAAATTGCCTCTACTTCCCCCCTCTGTGGAGAGGTGATCTTGTGCATGCTGACATGTTAAGAGAGGCTACTGCACACGGGCATTAATGATCTCCCTTTTCTGATGACAGTTTCTTTTGTATTATTAATCTTACTGGGGTTTAAGCTGTCCTTTCCCTTGAATCCAGATCAGGTGCCGGTGTGTGTTGTGCCTCCCCCTCCCCAGGTTGCCCGTGGTGGCAATAAGCTCATCGCCTTTTCCTTTCTCATACGGACAGGTTCAAATCGTTTACAAGCCAGTCGACCTGAGCCACGTGACATCCAAATGTGGTTCCCTGGGCAACATCCATCACAAACCAGGTACCCTTTGACTCCGCAGCATCCAGCAGCACGGGGTGCTGGTCCTTGGGAGCTCACAGGCTGCGTCGTGGTGTGCAGCCGGCGATGGGGAGAGGGTTGGGGTAGTGCAGGGAGCGAGGGGAGGCACGTGGGATAGTGACTGGAGCATCAGAGTGAGCCCTGGGGTGCTGGATGCTCTTACCAGCTCTGTCACTGCAAGACCCTCTCCAGTCTGCCTGACCATTGGGTTGTAGGGGAGGGATCTGGTCTGGTCCATGGACACCCTTGTCTGTGCCAACACATTGCTGTGAATGGGAAGTATTTAGGAATAAATAGGGGGAACTGCTGGTGTTTAGGGAGAGTAAGGTTAGCTCCCTTCCCTTGGCTCTGTTTTAACATTGGGATGTCTGTCGGCTCTGCAGCATCCTTTGGAAAGTCTCTTTACCCTGGTTCCCACTTGCCCTGGCTCCTGGGTTTCCCAAATCACCATGGGGTCCCTCTTGCTGCTGTTTTCCTGGTCCTCACCCTCTGCTCAGCCTCAGCAGTGCTTTGGTTGAGCCACCTCGGAGCGGCAGCTCAGACCTGAGTATGTTATCTCCAGCCTGCCCTGGCTGGCACAGGAGCCTACCCTGCTCGTGCTCTTCTCTTCCAGGCGGTGGCCAGGTGGAGGTGAAATCTGAGAAACTGGACTTCAAAGATAAGGTGCAATCAAAAATCGGGTCCTTAGATAACATCAGCCACGTCCCTGGAGGAGGAAATAAAAAGGTAAAGGGGCATTGGGTCGAGAGCAAGCATGCTGTTCTGCTGCCAGTGTCCGTCTGCCCTGTGAGCAGGCACGCAAGCAGAGAGTGGTTGAAGTCTGGACCCGGAGAAGGTCCTGCTCACCCAGCTCGTCTTTAGCCCACATGGCCTCTCCTCTCTGCTTACCAGGCAGCACTTCTTCCCCAGTGCTTGAAATGATTTGCTGCCCATGTTCTAGCGTGGGGTGATCTGTGCACGCTTGTCCTTCAGAGGACAAAAAGCGCCCTGCCCAGGGACGGGCCGCTCAGCCGCTGCCCACACAGCCAGCTCGTCTTCCTGCCAGCGGCTTGCTGCAGGCGGGCAGAGCCGAGGGCTCCCGGGCTGCGTTGGCCAACCTGGAGGACATTTGCTGGAGCACAGCTGTGGCACAGCTGCGAGGATGGCAGTCTCTGTCCTCTTCCTGGCCTATGGCCACCTGAATGAGTGTGAATGTAAGTGATATCCTCTCCTGTGGTTTCCTGCTCTTTCTGCTGTTCTCTGAAGTTTGTGAAGAAACATGGTTGTGTCTCAAACCTTTCACGTTAAGGGGTGCCACCGTCAGCAACCGCTTTTGCACTCTGCGTTGCCAATTACTCCCAGTGGTGTGGCCCAAAGCTGGCAGCTCAGGGTGCTGCATAGGTGTTGGTTCCCCAGTGAAAGTGGAGCATTAAAGGCATAGCTTTATTTAGAAAAGGTGACTTCGCAGTAGGCCGTCTCTTCAGAAGAAAGGTGATCTCTTCTTACTTCAAGTCTCAGTCTCTCAGCTGAGACCAACCAAGGACTCTGCGTAGGGAGCGGTGCGTGTTTGGGGGGATTTAAATTGAAACACAGAAGCCAATTAGGTCAGGTGAAATACTGAACTTGGGGTGAGCCGGTCCTGCCGGAGGCTTTGATGGTTACTTTACAGTAAGTCTTAGCTAAGTAAAACCTTGCTTCAAGGACAGCCAAGTCCCTTGCAGGCAGGGGAGCAGGGAGATCAGGTAAGCACAGAGTTGAGACTCCACAGCCTGGTGACACACGTGGTTGAATTTCTCCAGGGAAAAGTGTTTTTTGTCTTGCTTGTTTTTCAAACACTTTTTTCTCAATGGGAGGGGAAGGTTCTGTTTCGGCTCCTGTATTTTGGCACTTTGTTCTCGGCCACGTTTTCTCTGTGCACCTCCCAGCTCTTCATCTCCCAGCGGTGCGCCGGCCTCTGACTGAGGGATCGCTTGACTTCCTTACCCTTCTCTCGCTGCTGCTACGCATCAGACTGCCCTGTGCTTCACTAAGCCCATTTTCATCATTTTTATGATTACAGTGATGATTCTTTCATATCCTGGCACATTCACTGGGCCATAGTTTGAAGAACTTGCCTTTTGGAGGGGGAATTTATTTGCAAGGGTGTGACCCAGCCAGTGGCATCACCTGCCTCAGCCTTCCTGCGTGGCAGTTGCCCATACCCTCCCTAAATCCACACCTGGAGGAGGTTGTCGGTGTAACTTGAGTTCAGATGCTGCCGCAGATTGCTTCCCTTGTCCAGCCCGTTCCCATTCGCACCTTAGCACCAGGGACCATCCTCAGGCAGCGCTGCTCTGAGGTGGGACACTCCATTCGCAGGGAGGGGACAGAGGACACAGCTGAGCCCCATCAGCCCTCCACGTAGAGCGGCTGTGGGTGGCTCCGCTGCCCCTTCCCCAGCCTTTCCCATGTCCCCAGTCCCCTCCTCGCTCTGCGACACAAAAGATCCAGATTTGGACACATAGTCCACAGCTCTCCAGGCTGAACGCTGGTTTAACGTGCCACTCTTGTACTGGGGAGCCGGGGTGCTCTGTGCTCTGCCAAAGTACCTGTGCCGGCAGCATCTGCTCTCCTTTGCTGCACATGGAAAGCTTTCCTCCCCGTCTCCAAAGGCAGCCGCCGTTCTTCCTATGAGCCAGTGAATGGCCCTGTTTTTCAGATCTTTTTCTCCCCAATTTTTTATTTCTTTTCTTTATTTTTTGTCTTCTTCCTTCTGGTTGACATTTATTGGGTCTTGTTTTTTGTTGCTGATGCGTTTTTTGCACCCCACCGCCCTGGGCGGATTTCTTCACCTGTAGAGAGAGAAAGGCAAGGAAGACAAGACCCGTCCCCAGGCTGCTCGGACCCCGAGCCCAGACCCCGCTGGGCTCCAGGCCCTGGTGCTGGAGCCGCCCACCCCCCCGGAGAGCCAGCTCCCAGCCTTGCACTCGGCTGGGGAGGGCACCAGTAAGTAGCAAACCCGATCCACTTCACCTCCCCTCCCCGGCCCTCGCGCTTGCCGGGAGAAGAGGGGGTTGGCTTGTGGGAGCAGCGTTTTGTGCCCAGCTGGGCCGTGGGTTAAGGGGCAGCCTTCTGTGCCGTATGGGGATCCCACCCCCTCCGTAAATCTCTGCCGGGGGAGTGGGAGCAGCCCAGGTTGTGCTGTCCGAGTCCTGTGCCTGGGACCCGCCGTCACACCGGGCCTGGGCGCTTGGGAAGGATTTGGCAGCATCCCAAGATGCTCCAGTCCTGCCGTCCCCCCCAGTTGTGCCCATTCCCTGTGTGGGCTACTGGAAGGGATGTGCCTGAGGACTGGGGGCACTGGGGGGCATCAGGCCAATGAACTGAGCTTTCCTCCCAGCTGCACAACGGCAGTGACCGAGCGGACGGCTTGCAGGTAAAAACAGCCTTTCCGGATGGTGTCCCGCATCCTCCCCGCTCACCGCCCTCTCCTCTCGTTGCAGATTGAGACTCACAAGCTGACTTTCCGCGAGAACGCCAAAGCCAAGACCGACCACGGCGCCGAAATCGTCTACAAGTCCCCTACCATCTCCGGAGATGCCTCCCCGCGCCGCCTTAGCAACGTCTCCTCCACCGGCAGCATCAATATGGTGGACTCCCCCCAGCTCGCCACGCTAGCCGACGAAGTGTCTGCTTCGCTGGCCAAGCAGGGCTTGTGATCGGGGCACGGCGGGCGAAGATGAGAGAAGACAAGGAAAAAAAAAAAAAAAAAAAAGAAAAGAAACAAAAATAATAATCTGGCCTTCTTCCTCTGTTCCTTTTACAGCTGCTTCCCCATCCCCTAACTGGTTAATGATTTAACCTGCTTTTACTGTTCATTCAGCTCTAGCTCCAGGACTTCAAAATCAGTGACACTATGAGGTACAAAAACCTCCTCTCCCCCTGCTCCTCGGAGCGCACAGCCCGTGCCCGTCCCCCACTCCCTCCCCTCGTCCCCCCGCGAGGTCCCTCACTGTCCCGGCCCTGCCTGGGGCCACCTGCCCTGGCAGGGATGCCCACCGCCCCCCGGGAAAGTGGGGAGGGGGATAGAGGGGCAGCCGCAGCACGACGCTGACCCGAGCGCCCCGCACCGCAGCACAGGGCAGCGGGAGGTCCTCAAGGGAAGGGGATGTGACCTTCCCACGCTCGTTACCCTAACGATGCCTGGGCTGGAGGTCTGGCATGCAGGCGGCACAGGCAGTGGGTGCTGCAGCCAGGGACTGCAGGGAGGTGCCCTCCCTTTCTGCATTAAATTTGCCTGCTGATTTGGAAGAAACCTTTTGTTTTTACCACCGAAAGCCGAGATGTGTATGAAGATAACTGCCAGGTATCCCCTAAACCCGCTCTCAGCCCCGGCAGCTGGAGTACTGGCGACGCCGGGGTATCCCGTTGCGGAAGGGGCCCTGGACGGCCGTTCCCCTCTTCGTGGCTGTGCTGGAACCGCTGAGTGGATGAGTAGAGGCTTTTCCCCATTCCTTTGGCAGCCCCTCGTGTCGTAGAGTAGCTTTGTCTGTATATGCTTGGACCGTGCCAGGGTGATTGTTTTCATAAACGAGCATGTGTTTAAAAAAAAAAAAAAAATGCTGAAAGTAGTTTTGAGCGGCCCCGCGCCGGCT